CTCCCCAAAATGTCAAATTACGACCTGCGTGATATCCACACCAGTGATCTGTTCTTACGTCGATTAGAGCATACACAGTATAAAATGACGAAAAGGCGAATTTGACCGAAATTCAAACAATGAAAAACCTGAGATTTCGTAATGCAGAAACATCATCTGTAGTTAAAAGTTTTGTTCAATATTGTACCACATCCGCTGCGGATTGCATTACTGTAGATTCCTTGACTTTCTTTCGTTTAGCAAATACAATGTTTCAGTGTTGTATTGTTCATAATGAATTACTAGTATGATCATCCATGTGAAAAATGTATAAAAGTTTAAATGATTACACAAAGATTGAAAAAGAAGGTAATATGAGACAGAAATCTAATGAAACAGATATTTGAAAGAACTACGCTTGAAAGTCGTATGAAACGAGTTTCTTTGTAATTTTAATGTTATCGAAATATTTGAACCAATGCATTCAAATATACCAAACTAAGTCCTGTATGCACGTTTTATTTGTATATTTATTACGAATCTATAACGTATTTTCGACAAAAAATATTTCATTGAGTGTCTTTTCATCGCAAGCTAGTTTACTTTCGAGTTTGTTGCCGAAGATTACCGGTAAACAATCAACACAGAGCATTGGAGCACGTGACAAATAAGTGAATTGATAGAGCCTTTATGTTTTGTTATGTTATATTTTTATGCGTTCCCATTTGTTAATTAAACTTTTTCTCAACAGTTGTTAAATGATTTGTTGTATTAAATTTGTTCTTTACGAATCCGTTATTACCATTTACCTTCCAGTGCACGTTTGTTTACATTCTTTCATCACAGATTTCCCTTCGCACTTGCGCTATGCAGTGGCAGAAATTTTAATGAGAGGTATCGTACACGGCTGTCAATCGGTATACTGAGAGAAACGATCGTGAAAGAATAAATAACAGTGGTCAAGCATTGCGATTGGAACTTGAAAGATCTGGTATCGGATCGTGAATGTAATTAATTGAAATTCTACTTCAAAATCAGTGAACAATTTGTTGTATTTTCAAAACGCGGAACAAATCCGAAAAAAAAATGATGTCTGTCAAAATGATTCAACTTTTCTCAATAATACTGTGCAATAAGATACCTGTAACACTAATGGACATTTGCGTTTTTAACTTTGATACACATGACCAAATTGACAAGGTATTTGCGCTTTTCACCTATAATAGTTGTCTACCTGTAATCTTTAGAAAATTTACCAAAGCCATGGAAAGATATTCACATATTCTTTGAAAGTTCATAAGAACAATCGACAAATTTAGAAAAAAAATATTCGGGTAACCCAGACATATCAATATAAAGAATATAGAATACGTTTCAGGGGGCGCATTAGGTTTGTGCGTATTTGGAGATTAATTTCTGTTTACGTTTGCGCCGCAGCCTTTGCTTACATTTGCGAATATTTTAGAGTAAATAGCATTCTGTTTCATTATTTCACCGAATGGAAATTTAATGAATAATTTAAAAGAGGGGCGAAAGATACCAGAGGGACAGTCAAACTCATAGATCGAAAATAAACTGACAACGCCATGGCTAAAAAATAAAAAGACAAACAGACAAATAATAGTACACAAGACACAACATAGTGTTAATTTAATTTGTAAAATTGCACCAAGATACACATTTGAAGTTTCGTTTGTCAGAAACAAATCGGGGTGTGGTTTGGGGATGATATGATTTGTGTACGATGAATTTACTTTCCGTATGAACAGAACACATAAGTCCGGGGATATTTCATGGAGATGCATCGGAAATAATTGCAAAGGTATTTCACCGGTTTCCCATTTTCCTCCAAGTCCTTGGGCATCCGGCAGAATCTAAGCGTACTACATGTATTTTGAAACACGTTACGACGTGTGAAAACAGTACTTTTAATCTGTAGATTTACTACTTTTTTGCATTTTTATCTGTATATTATCCCAGGACTAAGTGCGTGTGCGCAATAAAACGGACTTATCCTGCTCGAAAATAATAGTTAAATAAATAAATAAGTATAATCTACCTGTTATTCCTGAGTTTAATCAAAAGATGTGCGCAAACGTAATGATTTTTGCGCGCAAATGTAATGAACCGGTTTCTGGGTAAACGATAGAGAAAACGAAACTTTTATGGATGGAACATTTAAATTTTGATCGAAATTCTTCAATTAGCTCCCTTATTAGTGGATTGAAATTGGAAACTATATTCCTCTTGTGGTTAATCTGTTGCATGGATAGTCCGAGGAACTATACCATCATAGTTTATCTAACATTTTTTTTCAATTTGTGTAGACCTAAATTCTATTTTAAACCACCTGTACCTTTTGAATTTTATGATATGTTGAGAAAGCACAATGTCCATTAAAAAGGTGCAAATGTCCTATCAGAAAGCGCAAACGTCCCGCAACCGACCAGACTTAATAATCAGTTTTACACGGGAAACTCCACACTAAAATTTACGATAAAAGGGACGAGTTTTCGTTCCCCATTGTTTATTTTCTTTTTTAGGATGGCGATGTTCCTTTGGCACCATCTTACGGTGTTTATATCACAACTCGTTTGTATGCCCGTGTCTGTTGTGACGTTTTGGATTTTAATGAACGTAATCTATGTTTTACTGGTAAATTATTAAGTCTGGGATTTCGTTACCAAAGAGTATAAAAAACCTTTACTAAATTCTTCTATAGATATAATTATTTGGTTTTGAAGTTTGGTTGTACCTATAGAAATCTTATTTCAAACGGGATAGCACATCCTCATTTTTACGGAGATGTTATTTAGCGTGCCCGGAAATTTAGAAACGATCCCGGTAAACTTATCGATCCTTTGAATAAACTATATTATAAAAGTTTACCAGTTCAACACTGTAATTAGATCTTTGAATATTGTTTTATTGGTATTAATATTGATTTTTTTATCAGTAAATCAAAAGCAAATTAAATATTATTATTTATATACATATGCACAATCATGGATCTACAATCTGTCGATACCTGTATCATGGCATTGCACAAGATCATGTTTTTCTCTGACTGTTTATTACGTCTTTACACTAAATCCATTGGATGTTGGATTTGTACTGATTGATAATTTAGTCTTAGATGCATGATTTTTTTTTATTAGTTGTTATTTGCTTTGAACTGGCTGTCAGTAACTGCGAGTACTCTCAGATCTGTACTTAATGTCTTTTTATTGTTGGGATGTACAAGTACCTAGCCTCCTCCACTCTGTGTATTTGTTAGATGTATTTCTATTTGTACCTATCTGATGAGTTAAGCCTTTTTCAACTGATTTTTATAGTGTGTTCTTATGGTGTACTGTTACACCACTGTCCCAGGTTAGGGGGAGGGTTGGGCCCCAGCTAACATGTTTGACCCCGCCACATTCTGTATGTGCCTGTTCTGTCAGGAGCCTGTAATTCAGTGGTTGTCGTTTCTTGCTTTGTTACATATTTGTTTTTCGTTCATTATTTTGTACATAAATTAGGCCGTTAATTTTCTCGTTTTAACGTGTACGTTTTTTTTTTTTTTTCTTTCTTTTTTTGTAAGGGATGTTATCTTCAGTTATAAGTTGATTGTCTATTTCATGGCTGCGCTGACATAAACTAAAAACGTACCAAGATAACGTTATTTATACTCGATTATTTTACCAGTCTGTTCACAATAGCTATATATAACATACGTCATTGTACCTACTTAGTGGGGTAAGTACCACATTGTACCTACTTATTTGGGTAAGTACCAATCAACATACCTCGCGATCGATTGCGCATGATGCCCAGCCTGAACTGTAATTTAGCCGATTAGGTTCTACAATGTATTCTCAACCTTAAATCTGTATAAGAAATCAAAACTTATGAAGGACGAAAATACGACTGATATTGCTATAAGGCACCTAGTCGGTGTGGTATTATAAGATAATCAGATCCAATGGCATTAAACGATTATAGCGCAATTCACGAACAGAACAGAACTGGAATGCAAATCCAATATTTGCTATACCAATTAAAAATATAAATTACCATATAATTAAATAATGAGTTGAACGTTTTCATAGCATCAGATCTTTCACGATCTTGAAAAAGCAGAACGCGATCTTTCACGATCTAAAAAATCATTTTTTGGTAAATATTTTATTTTTTGCAAAATTTCTGATTATGCAAACACAAAGTAACCGTAAAAACCATTTTATTCATTAAAATGGAATGACATTTTTCAAAGAAAAGCTGTTTAGTCATTCGAATTATAAAAATAATCTTGTTTGTTTACATATTTAATGTCAATGAAATGTCGAGGAGCAATCTGCCTTTTGTTGTTTTGTTGTTTTGTAAGAACGGTTTATTTTTAAACATTGATTTTTCTCAGATTCTGATCATTATGTTGAACCATTTTGACGGACAGTTTTATTTTTTTGTAAATTTGTCCGTATAATTTATTAAATTAGATTAGTAGTTGACCTTGCATATGTCTTCTCGATAAGATTGAATTCACGAACCTATACCAGAGCTTTTACGATCCAATCGTAATACTTGACCACCGTTAGGTATTCTTTCACTATCTGTTTTCTCGATATACCGAATGACACCCGTGTCGTATTCGCATACGGTCACTGCATACGGAGAAATATTGGCGAATTAGTGTACGGTAAGACAATAATTCAATAGTAGTACATTGATGAAGATTTTGATATTATTGCTTCGCATCACGGTTCGAAGCTATTAGTTTCAGGCGATATACACGCCATCTTGAAATAGTTACTTATTACATGTATATAGATTCTGATTGGTTGCTTTATGGTGCGACTGAGACACAGCAACAGCTATTGGCTTAAATGAGATAAAGAATTACATACTTTTCTCGTCTTAGGATAAGACATTAAATGCCGGAAAATTAACTATGTGTATTTCAGTTCCGATCAGCTGTCATAAATTCATGTTCGTTTCATTATGCATATATTGCACACTGAAATTCAATATTGAAATATCAATTATTAATACTTGTTTATTTGCTTTGTTAATCTGCAATATGCACGATTTGTTTTGCTAAACAATATTCCATATCCTATACAATGTTTACAAAAATGCATTATCTGTATTTTATAACTTCTGCCAGTCTAGGCACACCTCCAGAGTCGTGTCTATTTGTAAATATTTTAATTTTCAACAAGTAAAGTGACAACATTTTAAAAGCATGGGTGTTTAACGCACACTCTTAAAGTAGAACAATATCATTTTCAATGAAACTAATTAGCCAGTTTAAAATTTCAGAAAAATTCATCTTAATATATATACAAAATTGATATTCCAAGTCTAAGACATCCATTTTATATCAATCAATATCTAAAAATACCACATTTCCAATACTAAATCAACAACCACATGCACACATATTACATTAAATTAGGGTACAGCGAAGCAATCTACAGCTTTTTAGAAAGCTCAAACTTGTAAAGGATTTCTTTTACAAAACAGTTCACGAACACAAGTTTTTATAGTAAAACTTAGCCATTCAAGTATATAAAACATATTCAACTTTAATCAAAATTTGAAGTTTCATATAACTTTAAATGCTGTTTTTCAATTGCTGTAGGTGTCAGGGAGGGGGTCGGTAGATAGCCTCTTGTATGGCAATGTTTCAGTCCTACTCCAACAAAACCTCATTTTTCAGTGCAGTCGAAATTCTTGGCTTTTCTTATCCCACTCTGCAGCACCTACCCGCTGTATTTATTGTATATATGCTTTTGTCCTGAACATTTCTAACTGGACGTTAAGCAAGCAACCGTTAATCAATCTATCATTTGAAGGAAATTTTTCAAGTCTTTTTGTTTTTAATGGGCACTGTCCTAAAAAATACTTATGAATGGTTTTAATGTAAATTTTTCGGCTAGAAAGTTTTCTTGTTGTCAGTTTGACGACTTCCTAACGGACAGAATTATTTTAAGAGTTAAGAAATATTATCAGTTAAAGAGATAAAAAAATGTCAGTAATGGACATCAGAAAAATAAAATGACAACACCATGGCAAAACAATAAAAAGACCAACAGATAAACAACAGTATACAAAACACAACATATTAACGGAAAATATCTTTTTTTAAAACACTATGGTCATTTATAAAAACTTCAGAGTTACATTGAATTTCGCTGCTGTCATTTAGAAACCAATGTCCCCACTCTTTAGCACGTGCTATTTTGTTATCATTGCCTATTATCCAATTGTTATGAATGACATATGGTTTCCAAGATTTCCGTTTAGATTCCAGTAAGGAGTACCATTTTCCGTCAGGGAAATCTGTATGCGGTAAAATTAAAGCTTTTAATCCGCCATAGCGTTTCGAGAATAATCTGTTTAAATACACTTGATCATTTGCCTTCTCGGATACCTTTTTCTCTGGTGGCCATGTTTTTATTCTATCTGCTAACTTCTGCATTCTTCTATACAACTCTTGAAATAGTTTAACAGTAGTGTTAGTAGGAAACATGTAGAAAAATCCACCATTTACTGAATTTGTTACCATGCTATGCCTATTGCTATTGTGTACAAACAGCATGTCATATTTACCGGAGTATGATTTAAATAACGAGAGCGGACTCCGTAGCCACAGAAAGTCAAATTCAAACAGGAATGTTTCTATACGACTCTCCAATAATGCTAACAGTATTTCGGTTCTACGAACTAAAAGTCTGATATAACCCACGTGACTGTACTGTTGATCTTTCTGGAGATATTTGTCGACGGTTAGCACAACTACCTTGATATCAGGTGATACTGACAAAAGTTTCTCCTTTGCTGCTTGATTCGTGGCAATCACTAATACCTACAAAACAAGGTGAATCGTGTACAAACAACAAAGTTTGTGCCAATCAAGCTACTGAATCAAGGCACACACGCACACATACCTACCTCCCGGTCGATCATATTTTTGGTTCTGACTTATTTGAATCTTTTTTTGTCGTTCTGGTCTTCAATATGCATGAATGTAATATTTGTTCCTTTAAGTCTTTAACGGAATTTCATCATCATTCAATGAGAAAAAGATCTGTTTTTGAGAAATCTTAGTAGAGATTTAGCACGGATATTTATGTTTTTTTTATTGTTTTTTGTTTTTTCTTTGTATTTTTTTTTTCTTTTTTATTTCTATTATTTCTATTATTATATGTATGTGTAGTATTGCCTATTACAATACCATTATCACTAAATCAAGCGCGTATGCTTTTGGGTTGTTTTAATGACTGGATCATTTGCATACTTTTAACCCACCACGTGTATAGTCTCGTTTCAAGTCAAGAATCTCATTACCAATTGCTGCAATATTATCGCTATGTTACCTCACGACTTTTTTTATGTTATTTAAGGAATGACTGTATTATTTGTTCTGTTTATGAAGAAGTAACATCAAAAATGTTGCACCACATTTTTGAGGTTTTTTCGAATAGACAGAAAAAATATTACAGTCTTCCTTTTGATTTAATTCTAAATTCCCTTTTTAAGGAGTAAATCATGAAAAAACGTCGATGATTATGTCTATGAGCTGATAGACAAAAACATTCATTCAATCAGAAGACGTGTTACATCCAAAATTGAATTATACGAGTATGTCAATAGAAAGCAAAATGTTAACGCAAATATCAAAAATCGATTACATTTAAAAATCTAAAAAAATACTGACCTGATGATGAACTCCCATATGTTTTGTATTACATAACCAATTATATGCTAGTGGTAAAAATCCGTCATTTATCACTGTAACAAGCACGGTCTCCTTTGACATGGCTTTAGCTATTGTTAGGATTTTTTCCAAGTCTTTCTGCGGTTGTGTTAAGTTTTTATCGTTTCCAGTTAGAAATACCAATGGGCCCGTTTCTGTTTCATTTTTTTTTCTGTGATTTTCACTCGGACGTGGGTATAAACAGTTCCTTGATACAATTGTTTGTACTGCCTGTATATGTAAGGAGTCATTTTCTACAGATTTGTATTCAACTAGGCAAAATAATATCATAAATGTCATAAAAATTGCGAAAACAAAGTCTTTTCTGTTCATGACTCTCCTAGTAAATTGCACTGTTATACGTGCGATTTAACTATATACTGCTAAAATCGACTCCGAAACTAACCCTGCAATAAAAATTACAACATATAAAGTAAATCGCAGAGTTGAATAAAAGATTAAGAACAATCTGAAATCTTGTGTCTTCTGTTGTCCCAACATTTTCAAAGAACTATCCGAAGTTCAAAACTCCTGGGATGGTTTTTAACTGAATAATGGTGTTAGAAGCGGCGAATTCTTTTCATAAAGATTTGTATAAAATTGATTAGAAAATAGTGAAATCGTACATGCCGACAGCATTAAGAATTTTCTATACGAGTACTTATATAAGGGTTTACGTATAAAGAGAAAGCAAGACACGTATGTACATTTAAGATTTGATACAAAATACTATTTAGTTGAACTGGAAATTAACAATGTGGCTATACCAGTTCCGATGCGAAATGTGTTTCACAAATACATTAAATATACCACTCAATCTAATTAAAATTCATATCTATATTAATTCGCGTGCTCGTTCATATATGTAGGATAACGAAATCAGAGAACTATATTTTAATTAGATTGACATACCACCATTCATAGTATAAAAGTACAACCATTTACACTGGCGTGTAATCCTCTCATTTAGGCTTCCAGAGGCAGTCGTTATAATTTACTTGAATATCGGACAGTTATAATAAATGACGGAGCATGATTTACATAGGAGTTCCTTGTAGTTCAGTTGGGTTTTTTTTTCTGGTAATGGGGAGATCACTCAAATTTTATTTAAATCTAAGTACACTTTTACGCATGGCCGATACCTATGTTTTAATTTTCAGTTACGTATAATTTAAATTCCTTTCGTCGGATGCCACTAGAATATTTTATGTTTTATGTTTTAATGGACAAACACGTTTGATTTACAATTCAGTAAGGATTATGATAATGATGATGATGATGATGATGATGATGATGGATGGCTGCTTAACGTCCAGCGGCAAATCAATATGCATATTCAGGACGAAAACATATTTAATTTTATATGAATATTTACCCTGCTTTGTACAAGACCGACACGCTGAGCCGGATTTGAACATGCTAGTTCACAAGCAACAGTCCGCAGAAAAGACATGTCCCTTTACCCGGACACATTATTCTAACCCCGAGCCGACCAGTCTTTGCCCTTACTCCTGAATGCCACGTGCTTAGCGGAAAAGCAGCAAATACCAATTTTAAAGTCTTTGGTTTGACCCGCCCAGGTTCTAACCCACGACCTACCGCACTCGAGGCAAACAAGCTACCACGAGACCATCGAGGCGGTATCAACTCAGTTAGGTGTTGTCAATATAATTATTTAAAGACAAACAGTAATTTAAATTATATCCGTCAACAGTATCACTGTCAACAATAAACAAATATATCCGTCAACATTATCACTGTCAACAATAAACATATATATCCGTCAACATTATCACTGTTAACAATAAACAAATATATCCATCAACATTATCACTGTCAACAAAAAACATATATATCCGTCAACATTATCACTGTCAACAATAAACATATATATCCGTCAACATTATCACTGTCAACAAAAACATATATATCCGTCAACATTATCACTGTCAACAATAAACATATATATTCGTCAACATTATCACTGTCAACAATAAACATATATATCCGTCAACATTATCACTGTCAACAATAAACATATATATCCGTCAACATTATCACTGTCAACAATAAACATATATATCCGTCAACATTATCACTGTCAACAATAAACAAATATATCCGTCAACATTACCACTGTCAACAAAAAACACAAATATATCCGTCAACATTATCACTGTCAACAATAAACAAATATATCCATCAACATTATCACTGTCAACAAAAAACATATATATCCGTCAACATTATCACTGTCAACAATAAACATATATATCCGTCAACATTATCACTGTCAACAAAAAACATATATATCCGTCAACATTATCACTGTCAACAATAAACATATATATTCGTCAACATTATCACTGTCAACAATAAACATATATATCCGTCAACATTATCACTGTCAACAATAAACATATATATCCGTCAACATTATCACTGTCAACAATAAACAAATATATCCGTCAACATTACCACTGTCAACAAAAAACACAAATATATCCGTCAGAAATATCACTGTCAACAAAAAGCAAACGATTACGAATAAAAAACATGCACATGCGTCAATGTTACAACGGCCCAACAATACAACATATAAAAAAAGAAGCGTGGACGTCAATATATGAAATTGGATTGTTTCAAAAACTACTATATGCATGTATATAGTTGAGATCGTATTGTTTTATTAAATACTATGGCATGTTATGTCCATTTCATTGATTTTGTGATAATAATAAAACTTTTATTTTTAAGCAAGGCTTTTAGTCTTTAATTTATCATACCCGAACCTTTCGGGTTTTAGTGCGGTACGTTTAGCTCTATGTTTTTCCTCGACTTCTGGTTTTTGTTTGTTCTTTTGGTTCATCTTCCTTTTATTCGTTTGTAACTTTTATTTTGTTAGTAAAAAAATATAAGAAATAGCGCACTATGATAAATGACCCAGCTTCAACAATTGGAGTCCAAGATACAATTGATAAGGAAGCTGCATGAACAAACAGTAAAAGCTCTCAACAAACAGAAAACGTTTACAACTAATTGTTTTGCTATATCACTTTGAAGCTTTGAACTCTTGTGAGTCTTTAGATATACCACGTTAAAGCTCTCAGCTCGTCTGAGTCTTTTGACTATACCATGTTGAAGCTACAAACTGCTCTGAGTCTATTGGTTATGCTACGTTAAAGCTTTAAACTGTTCTGAGTGTTTGAAAAAAACCGAAGACAATATCATTGGGAGGGCCCGTATTTAAAGTTTACCTTTCAGTTTAAATATATTCAAATGTAGATCAACTATCCCTATTTAACGCTAAATTAAGTGTAATCGTTGGAACTACAATAATTGTAAACAAATCTGAACAAGAGGATTAGTATGCCGAGGAAATCCGCTTATTATAATGACGTCTGATTTTGGATATAATAATAATCATCGTATCTCTTATTTTTAAGCTTTGGGTTATTTGTATTACATTTCAATTTTTATTAGAAGTAGGAAGTAAACAACATTTTAAAAAATGAAACAGAAAAAAAACCCTGTGTATTTCCTTTAAAAAAAAATGAAATTTTGATTGTTCGTTTTTTGACATTTTGTGTACGCCTGAATTCATAAGTTTTTTTTTCCAGAATAGGTGCTCCAAGTTATATGGAAAGGATCAAGGTATCCTGTATGATTTCAACCTTTTATATATTGAATGAAAACTTTACTAAAATATTATACATTTATTTAAATCAGTAATAATGAACACAGTGAACACTAGATATTTTGTAAAAAGACAACTTAGTCCATGACTTATTGTCAGTGGCAAATATTTCATTATGTATATACGAAAAAAATAATCTCCTATAATACACTGAAAACACGTGTGTGCTGATATACAACAAACTCGTCATTATAAACTTAATCTTAATACCCTGCTCAAAGATGTGTTTGCAAAGCGCTGTCTTTAGCAAATCATAAAATCGACTACTTTGAAACTTTTCGTTCAATGTTAAACAGAGAAAAAGTGGTTACATTGCATGATTTATTTTTACTTTAATATACATGACTGTCTGTGATATTTTAATTAAGTGTTTTGTATTTTTTAATTCAAAAAGGATAAATACTAGTACGAGGATCATGGTTAACTCTATCCGGGTCATGGTTTAATGATTTGTCAAAATATGAATTTTGAAGTTATATGTAGTAAATACACAAAGATATAATACCATAGAAAGTCCTCTCTTATTTATGAAAATGAAAATTTGATATAAGGTTTTCAAGCCCTTGTTTTGTTTTCGGTTGACAGGTTCCGGATCATTTCTTAATATGGAACATATATCTCCCAGTTGATACGATATTCCTGAGCTTGCATTTTCTATCATGATTTCCTTGATAGAGGGTTGCAACTTCTAATGAAGCTATTGAACCAAGAGTTCCGAGTGGTGAAGTTGAAATCATCCCTTCGAAATTTTTTCGGACGCCATCACCAGTTGGTTGACCGTTATGGAATATCTGTTTCACAAATGACGGCGGATATATTCCAATCGTCGTAACTACAATCCCGTTCTCTTTTTCACCGAATGTGACCTACCAAATTAGACTTATCACCGGGTTTGTACTAACATGAGCAACACGACGGGTGTCACATGGTAAACAGGATCTGCTCACCCTTTCGGAGCACCTTATATTACCCCCAGTTTTTTTGGGGTTCGTGTTGCTCAGTATTTAGTTTTCTATGTTGTGTCTTGTGTACTGTTGTTTGTCTTTTCGTCGGTTTTTGTTTTTTGCCATGACATTGTCAGTTTGTTTTCGACTTATTAGTTTGAATATCCTTTTGGTATTTTTCGCCTCTCTTTTACATGTGTCAAAGTTGATAATAAAATATAAATAGCCCTGTATAATGGCAATTTTTAAATTTTTTTCTCGCAGTTAATATAATTCGGTTCATGCGGTAATCCGAATATATGACATGAGCATGAGTAAACTATGTAACAATACGTAGTAGCTTAACCTTAATACTAAACTAATTAAAATCACAACATAGTCCTGTCACATTGAAAAAAAACGGACCATTTCCCAGTGTTTCGTCGGTCATTAGCTTGCACACACTACATATAAACTCTTCAGTAATTTCTAAATTCAATGTTGTAAAATAAAATTGTAATAATATTAAAACTGTGTCTGGTAATTCTTAATTTTACTATATAAACAGATTACAAAAGGTACCACAACGTTTATATGCATTGCATTTGGACCGTGATGTTTTCGTAAATTCATTGATTTTTTTTTTTTATTAATTTTAGATTTGGCAGTGTAATTTTATGAACATGTACATACCCGAGTTTTTGTGTATCAAGGTAATTAAAAAACTATATCCACATTCTACATTCAGACACTATCTGACTGAATTATTATAGAAAACGGGCCATATTAAATGATGACCACACAGGTAAATACAACTGATCGTTACACAGTGTCAGTAGGATACTATTGACCACTGACCATCTATAAAGTAGAGTTTGTATAAAGCGATGGTAGAAAATCAATGAACCGCTTCTTATTGTATTGTTATCTCTTGTCTAATTACCTTAAATACTTACATTTCATACCCAAATTTTGGTTCAATTATAAAAACTACTGAAACCCTACATTTCGTAACATAAAGATGGCCGTTACATCTAATGTGTTTACATTTGTTTTACTTTAAATTAAGTATCCTATTCCCTGTTTTTTTTCGTTATGCAGTAAGTTGTCGGTAGTTCCACAATTACCGATGATTATTGTCTATGCTGAAATAAACGTCTCCGAAGTCGGACTCAAATTTCCTATACTGTCGAAAGTTTCAACAGGTTTTCTTTCTTAGAGCAAACAATATACTCTTGTTTCCTGCCTCCTGGCAGAAAAGGGGTAGGTAGGTTAAATGTTTTTTGTTTTATTAAATATTTGAGGTTTTTGTTTGTTACCTTGATTTATCTCTTTTTGATCGATTTACGTGGTTAACTACTGTCGCCTTAATTTACAAACTAGACTTTATAGGAAACGTTCTCGACTTAAACGGTGCTTAACCAAAAATATGTATACATATACATTAAGAGCAGGGAGGGAGTCGGCGAACCGAATATATATTATGTTTTTGCTTTATTAACAGTTTCAAGAAGTTTTTCCATTATTACAGTGTAAAAAACCTAGTTTAACCCAACAACATTCTCATGTGCTTGTCTCTAATCAGGAAGTTCGTCAGTAGTCGTCTAATGTTATAACGCACTGGTCATTTTGTGTCATTATTTTGAACCTTTGCAGGAGCCTCGGTGGCCGAGTGTTCTTAGTAGTCCAACTACTGTATCACCAGCCTGTCAACACTGAGGTTGTGAGTTCGAATCCTGCATGTAGCAGGTGCGTTCAACTCTAATCTTAATTGACTAGGATTGTCAGTTTTCCTGCCGAATGTCGGCGGTACTCTCCGGGCACTCCGGCTTCCTCCACCATTAACACTGACCGCCACGAAATAGCACAATAGTACACTCAAAGTGAAGTTAAATACCAACCAATCAACCAATAATTGAACATTTGCTGTTAATGACAAATATTTCAAAGTGTATGTTCAGATCATTGACAACTTTTTTAGACTAGGGTGATAAAGAGTTTGACATATTGTATAGACACTTTTTTATTGTTGAAGACCGTACATGTTGACCTCCATATGTCTTTTTAAGATTTGTGTCGTTGAATCTTCATTACATTGACGTATACTCCCTAAATCATGCTTAAGATGAAATATTTAGACAGTTGTGGAAATGAAAATTGTGGTTGAATTCATTATGTCTTTTTTTAAATTGGTTTCATATCTTCAAAACCATCTGATTTTCGTGGACATTTTGTTTTTATGCATTGGTTTGCATGTATTGTCTTTTCCAAAAAATAGATAAAAAAGGAAATCCCTGAACTTTATCAAAAAATAGGTAAAACATTTTTTTTTATAAGTTCCAATGCTTTGCATGCTATAATTTGTTCGTTTGGTTTTCTAATGGTGCGATCTATAACTGAAAAAAGCCCATACAGAAAAGTATGTATAAATGTGATAAACAAGTTTTAAAAGAGACAGAACTTAAAATCAGGTTCGATTGGTGAATTTGAATTCCTGTCCTTTTAACTCTATTTGAATTTGTGTATCATGAATAGAACCTTTCATTTTTATTCTCCGTGTATGCACTTTAATACTTTGAACTTCACTAAAATCTACCAAGTGATGTAGGAAGAGTATTGCTCATTATATTTTTTTAGACTAACGGATAATGAATGGAAAGAACAAAGACAAAAGGGCGTAGGGACAAGATGGTTCCTTCATTTAAGCTAAACACACACACACATACACATCTATATCTGAGTTTTAAATTCTATTGTGATTTTCATAAATTCAATTTATTTTGAACAAGCTGGTTATCTTTTCTTTGGTTGACAGGAGGAAAAGATAACAAGGAGGCAGCTGAAGAAACACAGATAACACCATGTCCAAAGCGAGAATAGATAAACAACTGTCCTCAAAACACGACATCGAAATTTACGAACACTTACTTGTCTACATAAAACCGATGGTGATCCTAGTTGCTCAGGAAGGGTATTCAATCTTCAACAATATTAATTTTTCGTCGTATTTGATAAAACAAATAATACAGTATGTAGTAATGTTCTAACATTAAAAATACTATCCGCGTGCTACAAACAGTATTCATTCGAATATTGAACGGGGATAAACTTTTTTGTTTACATGCCTTCTACTTTCGATATCGATAAACCATATTTTTATTGTATATACCTTGTATCAGGAACATATACTGTTCCCAGCTTGTATACACTTTAAAAGATTTGTATTACCCCTTTTAAAAAATGGTAAATTATTTAATTCCTAATATTGACAACAATCGATGTGTTATCTAAACAAAGAAAAGCAAAATGATTCCTATTTGCAGATGGTGTTATTAGGGCAACTGCAAAAGCTTCATTGGAAGACTGATTTTTGACCAGTATTATATTATTTGCAGTTCAAAATGATGAAAAAATCCCTTAACCTATAAACGATAAATTTATTTATTTTTGACATATAGATATTGATACCTCAATAATATTCGTTTCTTTAAATAATAATAATAAACGTAAAAAACATGTTAACATACCTCTCTACCTTATAAAGTAATGGTACAATCGTGTGACTATGCCTTCAATGCAAAAACATAACTGAATTATAATGTTAACAACATGATCACGACTTACAACATTAAAATGATTCTTTCTGGATAATTTCGATTACCGACCGTGCGAGACCCGCATGGTTAATTAAGGTCGTTAAACAGACCTAGTCATTTCGATTTAATCATTTTAAAAATGCAATGTACCTTTCATGTATTCGCAGATAGTACACTCAAGCTGTGTAATGTGCATATTGTTTATCCAAAAGACATAAATGTCACATGTGTTATACGTTTTGCACGCACTTAAAATTTACAATATCCATATAAAATCTGATTTTGTTTATATAATTGAACAAAAACGGAAAATTAATAAATCTATTATATATAATTACATCATCTTGGTGCTCAATTAAGAACATTTAGACGAATGACATTAACTATAACATTTTCTTTGTAATGCATATAGACCTAACATACGGCTAAATCATATACCATTCAAAAGCATATCATCTGCACTATCTTCTTGTCCGGTCGTCAAATATTCGTTCTGTTCAATCACAATGAAAGGTCAAGGACGGATAATTTCTTATTTTACACGATGTCAGCATTTTTGCATATTATGTATTCTAACAAACAAAACAGTTGTCTGAGATTCAATTGTTTATCACCATAAAACCAAATAACTTATTTTATTTAATGCTAAGACGCGTTTTAGACGTCATCACATTTTACTGCAGTTATACTTCTCGCTAATTAAACAGCCAATCAGAACAACTCATACAGTTGCACAAAATACCACAATCTGCAAAATGAATGCTTTTAACCTGTTCTACGTTAAAACAATTTTTATGTAGTCAATACTAGATTGAAGAAACATAAATCTCAAAATTCAAAAATGTTTAAGGGAAATAATACACGCGAGATTCACTTTTAGGGGGAATTTAGGGAGCGAAACTTTATATTTCAATTGCTACCATTAGAAAAACTCTTCGTCTTTTCGTGTTACCTGTTTGTAATTTCACGATTAACATTAAAAGAAATAAAATACTTAATATATATATTAAGGTACTGGTATAGATTAGAGAATTTAGGTAATAATTTTCCTCTATTAAAAGAGGCATATACACAATCAAAGACACTACATCACATGAATATAACATCATGGTATGGTTCAATAAATGTTATTTTTAAAATACTTGGTATTGACTATACAAATGTCATAAATGCTCCATTTTGTGAATCCTTAAACAAATTTAAGAAATATGTACAAACCAAGCTATCAATATTGTTTATTAGCTGTTGGAAAAAACAAATAGATAAATTTTCAGACAGTAAACTGAAAACCTACCTTTTATATAAAACAATTTTGGTTTTGAAAAATATCGAACATTGATCAAGAATTTTGAACTTAGAAGAAGTTTTACTAAATTACGTGTATCTTCTCATAGATTACAAATAGAATTAGGAAGATACCAGGGTATTCCCCGAATTAACAGAATATGTATTAAATGTTCTTCCAATATTGTCGAAGATGAGGCTCATTTTCTATTTGATTGTAACAAATTTGAGGATGATAGAAATTGTATGTTAGCTAGTATTGCAAAATATAATTCTTATTTTAATCATATGAGCAGTCAAAGCAAAATTATCTGGTTATTTAGTGTAGAAAATGTTGAGTTACTTAAAATAATATGTAATTTTATATACAAACATCTTCCTTAGTGAAGATTAGTTAAAGGAAATCTATGTGTGTATATACATTTGATTGGACATAGAAAATTATATTCATCTGAATATCACAAACATACTAGCCGATTAAAAAAAAAATTAATTGTTAGAATATATTGTTTATTCAAATGTTCTCTTATATCCTTGAGGCATCGTCCTCTGGTATCAACTGCATTCAAGTTACCTATGATGCTTCCTTGTTTGCTTTTGATACAGGTAGGAAAGAGACATTTACACACATTTTACATGCCTATGGCCCATAAGGTATCGCCCCCTGGTGTCAGCTGCCTTTAGGAAACCATAATACTTTCCTATTTGCTGCTGACACAGGATGAGTCATGGACATGCTTAATTTCTACTTTCTTTTTGGCTAATTATTATATGTTTAACTGATCCAACTTTTTGTGTACTATACATATATGGATATCTATTTTTCTTTTTTCTTTTTGGGCTGCTTGTTTGTTATCTATATCAACCACACTTGCAATAAAATGCATTAGTATTAAAAAAAAAACATACTATAGATTCTTTATCTACGTATTCTTTAAGAACTTAAATAGTTCTCGTTAAACATTTTTTTTATCTCATTGTTTGTATTGTATTATGAAAAATTATTGATGTTGTTATGTGTATGCCCTTTGGGGCCCATAATTGGAAATAAAATATCTTATCTTATCTTATCTTATCTATATAGAAAATATCATATGGCTTTTTCAATATCACATCCGTATCAACCCGAGACACCAATATAATCCCAAGAGCTCTGCTCGAGGGATTATATTGGTTGAGGGTTGATACGGTATGTGATATTGAAAAAGCCATATCATATACACTTTATTAGATACATGTACCTCACGTAGATGTTTTTTATGCGAAATGACGTCATACATATAAGGAGATTTGAAATGACGTAATACAGTTAGAGGTTTGACATGACGTCATACAGGTTAGGTGTTTGATAAAGCCTTTGCAACAGTGACTGCAATCGATGACGTGACGTCATACAGATCAAAGGTGTGATAAAGCCTTTGCAACCGTGCTGATATCGATATCATCACGGGTGGCTGATACAGCACGCTTGCCAATGACTGTATTACACATACAATTTATCTGTATTTACTACTAAGTATATAATAAATATATGTATATATAATTGTTCTAAATATCATATATATATATATATATTTAGATCCCTCTACTCAGAAATTTGTTTTGCATGCACACGTATAAAAATTGTTTTCTGTTTGGTAATAAATTAGTTTTCAGATCCATTTTGTAATATCTTGTGATCCGTTTATTTGGCAATCGCCAATGGCATTCAGCAGGGTTTAAGAACATCAGTTGTTCGACCTGCTAGTCAAATGCGTTTTGTTAAAATATTCTTTTTCACTTTTTTGGTCTTTTGGAAAATGTTGTTTGTGCTGTATTTAGACCCCTCTACTCAGAAATTTGTTTTGCATGCACACGTATAAAAATTGCGGTTTTTATCCAACGCAATCATAGGTTTGAACGTTGTTTTCAATTTAGACTTGTTTATATTTTTTCGTTTGGGCTTGTATTATATTTGCCTTCGGGTTTATATGATCGGTTCAACCTATTTCGACTCTTTCAAAATTCAAGAGTCTATCCTAAATTGAGGTAAATTATATGGCCTTCCAAATACCGTTTCGATTCCTAACATCACTGAAGAAACATTAATTGTCGAAATCCGGATATGGTGTACAAAATTTTGCACCTCATGTTTGCGGTATACCATCTTTTCCGCAAGTTTATTGTTTTCTGTTTGGTAATAAATTAGTTTAAAGATCCATTTTGTAATATCTTGTGATCCGTTTATTTGGCAATCGCCAATGGCATTCATCAGGGTTTAAGAACATCAGTTGTTCGACCTGCTAGTCAAATGCGTTTTGTTAAAATATTCTTTTTCACTTTTTTGGTCTTTTGGAAAATGTTGTTTGTGCTGTATTTAGACCCCTCTACTCAGAAATTTGTTTTGCATGCACACGTATAAAAACTGCGGTTTTTATCCAACGCAATCATAGGTTTGAACGTTGTTTTCAATTTAGACTTGTATATATTTTTTCGTTTGAGCTTGTATTATATTTGCCTTCGGGTTTATATGATCCGTTCAACCTATTTCGACTCTTTCAAAATTCAAGAGTCTATCCTAAATTGAGGTAAATTATATGGCCTTCCAAATACCGTTTCGATTTCTAACATCACTGAAGAGACATTAATTGTCGAAATCCGGATATGGTGTACAAAATTTTGCACCTCATGTTTGCGGTATACCATCTTTTCCGCAAGTTTATTGTTTTCTGTTTGGTAATAAATTAGTTTTAAGATCCATTTTGTAATATCTTGTGATCCGTTTATTTGGCAATCGCCAATGGCATTCAGCAGGGTTTAAGAACATCAGTTGTTCGACCTGCTAGTCAAATGCGTTTTGTTAAAATATTCTTTTTCACTTTTTTGGTCTTTTGGAAAATGTTGTTTGTGCTGTATTTAGACCCCTCTACTCAGAAATTTGTTTTGCATGCACACGTATAAAAACTGCGGTTTTTATCCAACGCAATCATAGGTTTGAACGTTGTTTTCAATTTAGACTTGTATATATATATATATATATTGTTTTCTGTTTGGTTTTAAATTAATATAATTAAAATCCATTGTGTTACATCTGTGATCCGTTTATTTGGCAATCGCCATGGCAGTCAGCAGGGTTTAAGAACATCCGTTGTTCGACCTGCTAGTCAAATGCGTTTTGTTAAAATATACTTTTTCACTTTTTTGGTCTTTTGGAAAATGTTTGTGCTGTATTTAGACCCCTCTACAAAGAAATTTGTTTTGCATGCAGACGTATAAAAATTGCGGTTTTTATCCAACGCAATCATAGGTTTGAACGTTGTTTTCAATTTAGACTTGTATATATATATATATATATATATATAGGTTTAGCTAGCCCTAAAAAAACTAAATCCATAAATAGATGATTACACAGTAAGTAAATTAATGCATTAAAAGTTTAATTTCAAATTTTTCACTTATACAAATGTAGAAAATTTGTTTTCTTGGTTGCTTCAGCTGCATCGTGCATTGACGAAAGAGGTGTCACACTTACGATTCAATCAATCAGCGTCAAGAATGTTTGGTGAAGTAGGCCACCTCAGACAAAACATAGCACTTTTGGTATTGCAGTTTACTACAGCTACACGAAACTATTAATTTTGCTTAATTGAAATTGAGAAACAAACATGCATTTGGACCCTTGTTTTTTTTTTTTACTTTTGGCCTTGATTTTGCATTAACATTTTATGGTAGAGGTTCTACATAATATTCTCTTTAAAGGCATTCGGA